CCCTATACGCCTTGGTTAATTCGGGACTATTTCTGCCTCACCCAGGGAAGTAAAGGTAAAAACTGGAGGAAGAAGATAGAACCACTGAAGTCTGCATTCTGAAAATGATGAGAAAAGGCGATTACTGGAGGAGATTACTGTTTTTCTGATGCAGATTTCAGTGCCGTCAAAACATCAAGTGTTTTACATTGGAATGATCATATTACATTAAATGGAATGTCTACACATCTGATGCTAACAGCTGTCAGTTGTGTGCACCACTATCGGCTTCAGAAAGGGTCTGATGCCCAGGAGTGTGATGTACCACAATGCCTGCTGAAGGTAACGGAGTCGGAGAGAGCCCAGAGCAGTCAGAACTGGACCCAAACAGAACTGTGCGCCCTAAATAAAATGTGATTAAATAAGCAGAAAAATGCTAAAGTAACGAAATGGATGGTTTGGGCTTGGAAAACCCATTGGGCTTGGTAATCGAGTCCGAAATGCAGAAATCCCCCTGAGACCACTGTTTTAAATCCTGGTAGAGGCAGTTAATTCGGTATCCCACTGCGCTAGGAGCGCAGTGTTGGGTAGGGGCTGAAGGCGCTTAATGTAGACTATTTTACAGTGCACAGCCTCAGAGTTGCTGCTTTCTTACAGTACCTCCTAAGCAACACATTCTTAACAGTATTTCACCTGCAGGAAGAACATCTTATCTTGAAAGCTTCAAAATACTTTACTAATGTTGAACACAGACTAAGAGAAGTTTGCCTGGGCAGCCCAGTCCGTGGCCTCTGAACTGGTAAGACACACAGCCTCAGGGACTCCCTGAAATTCAAGCCTGTTGACTCAGATTTTCAAACCCAAAATACCCTTTTCAGCTGCACAAGCAGACCTATTCTTGCTTCATTATATTTCTATATAGTTCTTTCAGGGCCTGATTCTGAATGATGCTGATCCTACTAACTTCTAATGACCTCGATTGGTGTGCAAAAGCAACTTATTGCTAAAAAATGTACAAAGAGATTCTCAGAAGAAAAAATGTTAGCATATTTGTTAAAATAATAGAAGTTGCTTATCTCTTATTAACTCCTTTTTATTTTTTTAGTTTCAGACGAAAGCAAACCACAATTCCAACATTGTACATATGTGTACATATGATACAAAAATCAGTTCCTGCTGTGACTTTTGCACTGAGGGTGATTGGTCAGGAAAAAACTCAACATCCCCTTCAAATTCAACTCAACCCTACAAGAGCCTCAAAAGAAAATGTTCCTCCAAGGACAACGTACTTCCAAAAAATAAAATCAATATCCTGTATCATTTTGTACTCAATAGCTTGATCCTGGACAGTCAATTTCTTTTCAAACATATACTAGTCTTGACAGATGCTTTTCCTATACTCCATGTTATCTTTTAAGAACATTTTGTAAACCCACGTTTTTACAATAAGGAAGAAAAAAGGGAAGTGATTTTAGACTTATCCTGACTACTTTTATAATGAAATACATCTGAAAAAGTGTGTTCTGCCGTGATCTCATCAGTGGTATAAGCCAGTCTGAGCCCAAACAGATTGCCTGCCAAGGTGATCTGATTTAAGCATGAAGGATAAACCAACACTTTGTCTTCACAGCACAGTAAAATCAAGGGCAACTTGCTTATTTTTGATATGATGCCAGTCTATAATGAAGACTGTTGACACTAAATCACGTTTTCTTTGACATTTTGTTACTGCAAATGTTATTTGGGAGATGTTTAAGTAGGCAGGCTGTGAAAATGGGACTGTATAGCCAAATGTGACTCAAATAAGGCCATATAGACTATGAAGCTCTCCTCTCCAAAAAGGAGTAGTCTGCATGGGGAGAGATAGTTATGGTACAGTTATCCCTTAATATCTAATTTCTAGTGAACCTAGAGAAATATTTATTGTTCAGATTATTCTCTGCATACATTGACAAATGCCACTAGAAAGAGGATTAACTCCTCATTTTTCACCGATTAGTTCTGTTTCAAGCTAGGAAAACACATGATCCAAAAAACTTGCTTTTACTGTGGCAGTAAAATACCACTGAAGTTCCTGTCACAAGAACAAGATGCCTCATTCAGTGAACATAAATAATCACAGGCACAACTGGCACTCTTGCAAGACAGCCCGAGGCAGACTCTTGAAATGTGAAAAAAGGACTAAGGATGCTTCTTTCTGAATAAATGCCTATCGCAATGCTAAAATCTCTGCTTTCTGAACTCCAAAACTAAGTGAAGGACCTGTGGTTGTTCGCTATATATGAAAATCAGGCCATCAAGGGTCCAGTATTACACAACAGTGATACAGTCTTGCTGTCAAAGATTTCAACAGAAGATTTGGCAAGGATTTCAGTGAGAGGAGGACTGGGTCACTGTGGCCTGGAAACATTCTTTACAGGAGAGGGAAGAGAAAAAAGTAATAAAGAGCTAGTGCACTTCTATGCCACAGGTTTAATAAACAAATCATTGTGGTTCATGTTTTCCACCTGCAGTGCTACAGGGATTTCAGGCGCTTCTGTAATGAGCCATCAGTAGGTCATGCTGACCCTCTCGCGTACTTTGGCTGAGGTACGCAGTTCATAAACACTGCTCTGCAAGCATTTATGCAAGCCACATGCTTTCAAAGTAAGTACATGCAAATGCATAAACCAAGCAGCATCTACACTTTTCATGCCCACAGCTTCCTAGTGCAGCTTGTGATTTCACCCATGGCTACAGCAGCTGTAGAGAGCAGACTGCACTGGAGTTTGCCTTCTGGAGAACTAGGAAATGGTGCCTGTGAAATGTCCTTTCCAGATCCCAAGGGAACCAGACAGTGGACTGTTCCAACACCTCTCATCGATCGCTAACTTCTGGCTACCCTAAAGATTGGAAATTTATACCACTCCTTGGTCACATTTACAGAAAAGCACCAAGGGATAGTGGGTGTCTTAATCTTTCCTCTGGACAAAATAATTTTGCCCTTTTGTACCTGCTCAAAGCTTAATCGCACAGCTCATCATTTTAAGCTTATCACTTCTCTTTCTGAATGTTTTGGTTGCTTTTGTTTCCATTGCCTTGAGCACAGGCTGCTGGCCTTTACTTCAGGAAACACATGCTTTATTGAACACATATGTATTGGTCATCTGAACCAAAAAATAACCCAGACCCTTACAAACAAGGAGGTTTGGAACAAGTAAGTACTTGCGTCTTCTGAACACAGAAGTCATTCCTTAGTTTAAGTCTATTTAAATACTTACTAAACATTCCACCTTTAAATTCCTTACAAAATGATTCCCCAAATTAAATACAATAGAACAAAGTGACTGACAGCAATAGACACAAACCTACAAAATTCATGTTTATGTTTTAATTTTGAATGCTAGTTGTTTGACAGGCTGATCAGCTAAAGAAAAAGAAGTCCTGACATTATCAAAGTTTTTAGAAATTGAAAATGCAAAGTCAGAAGCTGAGTGAATAATTTCTTTTGCCCACAGAATTGCTGAATATGGAATGTTGGTTCCACAGTAAATTAAAAATAATAATGACTTCCCTAAAATATTACACCGGACTTGAGCACAGGTGCTATGAGGAGAGGCTGAGGGAGTTGGGATTGTTTAGCCTGGAGAAGATGAGGCTCAGGGGGGACCTTATCACCCTCTACAACTCCCTGAAAGGAGGTTGTAGTCAGGTGGGGGTTGGTCTCTTCTCCCAGGCATCTAGCAGTAGGACAAGAGGGCACAGACTCAAGCTCAGCCAGGGGAGGTTTAGGTTGGATATTAGGAAGAGATTTTTTACAGAGAGAGTAGTCAGACATTGGAATGGGCTGCTCAGGGAGGTGGTGGATTCACCATCCCTGGAGGTTTTCAACACGAGACTGGATGTGGCACTTGGTGCCATGGTCTAGTAACGGCAGTAGGGTTGGCCTTGATGATCCTTTAGGTCTCTTCCAACCTGGTTGATTCTATGATTCTATGAATTAGCAACCTAGCAAAACGATTCTAAAGTAGCTTCCTGCACTTTTCCTGGCAAGGCACGCCATTTGTCTTTAATCCAACAATTTTTCTCAGATAAATGAATGTATTTTCAGCATCAACAGCTCTTTATTTAAAATATCTAAAGAAAAACAAACATCCACTAACACAGTTATCAGAAATGCTCTCTTATTGATCCAGGCTATGAATGAAATCTCACAGGCCTACTGCTCAGAAAGTTTTACTTACTACCAATAGTATTTTTGAAGCCTTAATAACAAACCCTTTCACGTACTAAGTGCTCTGTAGTCTTTCAGTTATGTGCCCTAGCCCTGTAATGAAAATCTGCAAAGAGGAAGAGTGTTTCACTCCATTACTAAATATTCCTCAACTATATTTATAGCCCAGTTTGTATACTGTTATACTTGCTGCTCTTGACAACAGATGGCTGAACTGCCTCAAAAGGCTTCCCAACACAGAAGAAAAGAATTGTGTAATGTTCATGTAGGGGAAGGCCATGAAGAGACTATGTCATCAACCATACATGCCTTCAGTTACACTATAGTGCTCTACAGCTTTCCATTAACAAGCCAGTTTTGTATTTGCATTAAGTAAGACTTAAGAATGAATGTGAATGTCAAAAGGCAGTGGCTTTCTAGACTAATGCAGAGCATAACAAGTCCTATGAGGAGAGGCTGAGGGAGTTGGGATTGTTTAGCCTGGAGAAGATGAGGCTCAGGGGGGCCCTTATCACCCTCTACAACTCCCTGAAAGGAGGTCGTAGTCAGGTGGGGGTTGGTCTCTTCTTGCAGGCAACTAGCTCTAGGACAAGAAGGGACAGGCTAAAGCTCTGCCAGGGGAGGTTTAGGATGGATATTTTGGAAGATATTTTTTATGGAAATCAGGCATTGGAATGGGCTGCCCGGGGAGGGCCATCCCAGGAGGTTTTCAAGATGAGAGACTGGATGTGGCACTTAGTGCTGTGGTCTAGTAACCATGGTAGGGATGGACTTGGTGATCTTAAAGGTCTTTTCCAACCTGGCTGACTCTATGACTCCATGATTTGTACAAGGTAATGGGAGAGACAAGGCAAAGATATTAACAGTAAAGCAGTTCACTGATTGGCACTACTGACACAGTGGACACAGTCACTCCTGTTGAGAAGACTCACAACCCCAACTAAAGACAGCATGAAAAGTTAGCAACAGAGATTTAGGTAAACCAGCTTCTACAGTGGAAAAATAAATATTCATCCACCTCTCAGATATGAATCAGCTCCCTTTTTTGAAGCATGAAAGTTCACGTTCCACTTGTCTTTTTACTCTTAGTCATTTCTCCATCTCCCCTGGTTTTCCTAGCTTCTAATGCTTCCGATATAATCACAATAGATTATCCCCAAATTATCCTCTGACTCCAAACGACCTGTATTTATTTGTAAAATTACTTACTGCAAAGTCACAGCCAGTGCTTTTCTTGATATCATCCACTGTCAGTCCTTCCCAGATTTCTACGAGGGTCAATCCCTTCTTCTTGTCCACGTCAAACACGGCCTACCAAGTTCAAGCAGCACACAATTAATATTTCACTATGAAAGCAGAAAATGAGGATGCAGACAGTAATACTGCACAAAATGGTGTACTGAAGTAGACAGCATTCCCTCAGTAACAAAACGTGCCATTATCAATTGGTTTCACTTTTCTGACTGACCAGTAAATATTTCTGCTACATTTATTTGTACCTGAAAGAATCTAAAATAATGTATGCATTAGTTTTGCGGAACAACTGTTCTTCACTGTGTGAAATGACCATGCCTGTTGCTCCAATCTAGTGAGAATGGGAGGTCCACAGGAAAGGGCTAAGATGTCCTTTGCTGCAAGACAATGCCCACCAAGAGACCATGAAAGAAACAGGAAAACAGAATATCTCCCTTGGTCTTTTATTTCATTTTAAGGCCAGGAGAGAGAGGTACAATTCACCTTTGTCTGACTGCAAGTTTCTTCAACCGCTACTGCACACCCAGTGCAAATGCCAGTATTTTCAGAAGGTAGCAATGAAAGACAAGATTTCTGGCTGTATTTTTAATAAAAGGTCTGGGAGGAAGTGGCTGAAGAAATAAAGGCTGTTATTTCTGATGTCTTTATAAGACACACCCTCCACTTCTGAGACTTACAAATACATCATATAAAAACACCTGCAAAACAATGCGCAGTATAATAGTGCCTACCAGAAGGAGATACACAGGTTGCAAGCTCGTTGCCAGGGAAACCATAAGGTCTAAAGCAATTTTCCATAAAAACAAAAGTTCAGTAAAAGCAAAAGACCAGTAAATATTGACCTTGCAATGAAAGTGAAGTCTTAAGCTCATCAGGGAAGTGTACTGAAATCTAGCTGTCCTCTGGGCACGAGACTGTTTCATGCGACTAAAAAATGACAGCTCCTCTAAGTCTTAAAAGAGAAGGTGTACATAAGGAACATACACACTAGGATGCTAGTATGGAAACAGAATTTGCAACGTGTCTAAATGCACACATTTGTGTCTTTTCCTGATAAAGCAACAAGATCTGACAAGTATCGACAGAGAAATTTTGTTGTTTATTTTCTATCGGTTAGTCCTTGTTCACTCGCCTTGTCTTTGCACCTTACATTTGTATGTGGCCAGTTAGCAGAAGACTGGAAAAACTTCCACATTTTAATTTATTTTCCCTTATTTTGTGAAGAAATAGCAGCAGCAATATACCACCATGAAAAAGCAAATTCCACGTAAGCACCTTGGATGCATTCTACTTAGCGTGATAGATGGCTCACAGAGGGACTACTCTAAGACCTTAAAAATGTAAACATTGGTAATAGAAGTAGTATGATTACAGCAAAAATCTTAAATCATTTAATCCTTTGCTGAAAAGATCTGCTAATGTACTTTGAGCAGAAGCAATTTCAGGCGCTCATACATACATGCACTAGAGAATAAATTGCTTCACAAATGGAATAACATAATGACAGAAAAAAAAGTTAAAGCTCTGCTACAGCTACAAGTTTCTCTGAAAGAGCCTGTAGTATACATCAAGGAAGATGCTTGGAATTGTCTGACTGATGTGTGCTCTGCTGGTAAAAACACCCCAACAAATTCAACTAAAAACTCCAAGCTCTGATTATAACTGCATTTGAAGATTTGCATTTCACAGCAAATATTAGGAATAGTTTGGTAAAAGCAAGGAGATACACACCCTGCATGCCTGTCATATGTGGCATCCTTGTTCTGAAGTTGACGAAGGGTATCATTCATTATGCTAGATGTCAAAGCTTTACAAGAAAAAATATGTGCCCCAAGACCTCTAGACATGAACTCCAAGGGAATCTTTTCCCTTTGGTGGCAACAGATACCTAATATAGTCTTCATTTTTACTAAGCTTTTCTACTTTTATTAGGGATAAAGGAGGAAATTATTAACAAAGTACTTTACCTTCTCTGTAATGATGCGGTTAACACATTGTTTCCCAGTAAGTGGCAAACTACACTTTTCCAGGATTTTATGGACATTGCCCTGTGTTTAACAATAAGCAGACAAACATCAATTTTTAAAAACAACACAACTCAGAATTCAAGTATGTATGCGAAAATTACAGCTGTAGCCATTCAGTGTTATTGAAAGATTCAGTGTACTCAGAACACTCTTCAAATTCACTTCTATGGCAGATTACATCTCTGGCAATTTGGGACAGTTATGACTTAAATCCTACATACAGGAAGATGACTAGTAAGTATCTTACTGTACCACTGAGTGGGCTCTTGAGTTTAGAAGTTCTGCATGCTCCTGCCTAATAATTTGTCCTTCCTGCTGCAATGTGAGGACAAGAGATACATGGGACCTCACTGATGACTCATGAAGGACAAAAATTAGGGAACAACATTATGGGCACACCTCTGTCTTATACTTTATCACAAACATGTCTAGGATCAGCCATAAACACAGGCGTTTCAAATCCCCAGGATTCAAGTGCACAGTCATGCTTTGAAAAGAGTAATTCCAGTTTCTTTACCTACATTGAATTCCCATTCCCTCTATCTCTCCAGGGAAGCCCTAAATCAGACTCAAGAAATGAGTGCAATATGCTCATCTTCAAGTCCTACACAGGAGTTATATTATCTCTGTTTTAGACAGAACAAATTAGCATGCAAATATAGTGGAAAAGAAATGTACGCATAACAAATAGGATTTACTTTAAAGTACTTACTTTTCAAGGACATCAAATGCCAGCTACTCTAAATCCTGGGAAAAATATTACCTAATGAGAAGACACAGCTTCTGACATGAAGCTGGGCAGGTAAGGTTTGGGTCGTGAAGTTTTTTTCTGTTTGTTTGCTTTACCTAATTTTTCCTTTTATTCCTTCATTTTTTTTGAACTAGGAGTCCACAAATGGGTTTAGATCCTGCTAAATTAATGTAGGCTAAAAAAGCTCTGAATGGATATAAAAGAGATGGATTGCTACACCACTTGTCAGTATTTGTGAGTGTTTTAAAGAGGTAGCACTAAGTGCACATTTCTCCCATTATCCTATGCTTTTTTTTCTCTAATTATCAATTTTCAGTTATGCATTTCAAAACTCTTAAGAGCATTACATGTCTCGTTTAACCATCCAAATGTAACACTTTATAATTTGCAATCACCAGTTTGCCTTAAGGCTTAATATAAACTCAGGAACCATCTCGCAGCCAGTCTGACTCCTGAGTGATAACAAAATAAGTAATCCATGTGCTGCTGAATTTATCTTTTTCTGTGAAAAACATTCTAGTTACTTTCAATTGATCTACTTATATCTTCTCCATCTTGAGGACCTTCTTGCTCACTTCACCTAAGAGTCAGGATTAATCTGTGCTACTTGTAATATCTTCAGTAACATATCAAATGTACATCTCAGCCCTATGAAATGAAGTGTCTCTTCTTGGTACCTAATTGAGACTAAGATGCATGGACTTGCAGAAGTGACAGCTTGAATGGCTCCAGTAATCCTGAGAACTGATACATGTGAGCTTCTAAAAACTTGATCTGAAGATTACTGTATTACCAGTTAGCATTAAAGATGACATGCATTTCCTGATCTTTACAAAGGTTGGACTCAATGATCTTAGAGCCCTTTTCAAATCTAAATGATTCTGTGATTTTTGGAAGATGTCCATCAGGCCAGTGTAGTAACAGCAATCTAAATGGAACTGCATGATTTTTTACCATCTGAATTTATACAGGATTTGTTCAGATAAAGGAAACTGTAGATAGTGTAGATATATAAAACCTTAAGGTGTCCCAGTCCACTCTAAGTAAATATTTCTGTTGTTGAAGAATAAAAATGTCCTTAATTTTCCACAATGTATTAAAATCAGAACTATTCGCAGTATGAGAAAGGAGTTTTCAATTCAGTGCTCCATTTTTCAGTGGTGGCCAAATCCAGTGCTTAAAACCAGTTTCCATTCTGTATTTCTGAATAGTGTAGACAACTTATTTCTCAACATGGAACAATTACCAGCCACTACTTTACTATGTTTTGCAAAACACGTCAATGACGGTATGGGGGTAAGGACCTTTAATTCTCTCAGGCAGTATTTAGCAGATTAGACATAGATGTGCAGTGACTGTTCAAGATACCAAATAACGTTATATTCTAATATTTTTTTCATGGTTATAAACAAAAAGGTAATTTGGAAAAAAAAATACATAAAGAAAGACACTAATGAGTTAGACTTCAGGTCCATTTGCTAAGTGTTGCACAGTGGCCTAAGCACATGGAGCAAAAATTGAAACATCCTTCTACAGATATGCCCTCCTGACATGCTGTGATGTACAGATTTTCTGGGGCAAAGACAGCTTCTGGGCAATGCTATTAAATTGTTACTGATGAACTTAACCTCATAAAACCATTTAGTCCCTTTTCTATAGACTTGATTTTTGACATCATGCATCATTCTGCTCATCATCCACAACCTCATTAGCTGGCTGTGAAAAGTGTACTGTTTTCAGCCATGCTGGTTACTAACTTCAGTCAGTTACTCCTACTTCTTTTATAAGACCATTTGGCATCCACCCTCATTATTCTATCTCTTTGCTACCCATCCTCAATAGAGTTTCTTAAGATGAAGAGTCTTCTAAAAGCTCATGCTTTCTCATCTTTCTTCTGCATCTTTTAGTTTTCATTACATGTAAAAATTTCAGTTATTAAAACCGTAATTAATTTGGGGCTGAGTGTATTTATTTGTATTTGCAACATACCGCATATCAGAGTTTAAAATGAGGAAAATTCTTTGAGTATTTATTTGAGTGTTAAGACAGATACTAGTTTCACCCTCAAAATTAAGTGCAAATTATATTTTGCCAGTGCTGCAAGGACTCAGGCTTTGCTATGTTTAAAAACTGCAACATGTGTACTGAAAGGAGAAGGGCTATTAAACTCTTAGAAAACTTAGTTCAGTGTTTAACAAGCCATATTATACAAAAAAAAAACCTTGAAAAGGATTTACAGAATCATTCACAGTATCACAAATCAGAGAAAACTGCGTGCAAGAACTACCTATTGCAGCAACTCTTGAACATGTCCACTGAAGATTCTGCCTATATCCCATGTCTTCCACTGTATTTCCATTCATCAAATCTTGACTGCTGTTGATTTATAGGAAACTTTGGTGTCTGATACTAGATTTATTTACTTAGCGAATAGGATGACAAAAATGTCCCTTTACTAAAAAGCCAGTAGATACAACAGACTGTCTCAGTACATGGTATTTCTTTCACTCATAGCACATTGGGCTTTGAGCAGGATGAAAGATTGCTCCTCTGATGCATAGATGCAGATGCAGTAAGTTTGTGAGAAAATCTTTGGTGTAAAGAAATAAAAAGCCATGAATATAAAATCAGCTCTGAAAAAAGCAGCTGCTCCCAGCTAAAGGCTTGACTTTCAGACCTGGTCTCATGGGTGCTATATTTGCTTGTCTCTCAAAAAAAGACTAATCTCAAAACTAACAGCAGTTTTTGATTTCTAAACATTAGATTCCCATATTTCATCACCTTCACTTTGGGGCAAACAAGAAGCAACAGGATTTAGACCACAAAAAGAGGCTAGGTAAGAAGAAAGACTGCCATTTAACAATGAATAAAATAAAAATCATGTGCACATTTTAATATGGCAGTGCCTTCTCACAAAAGCAGAAGAAATAATTTATGAAAGCGTGGAACTGGATCTCCAGAAGTGCACACAAGGCACACCATGCACTTAAGTGCCCAAGGTAGGTATACATGTACCAAAATAAATAATTCTATGCCTGGGCTATTTGTTACAGTCAACCTGTCTCTGTTTTCATCTTTTTCAGGTTTCAATACTCCTGCAGGCAAAAAGAACAGCAAACAATTTCCAGTGTTCTGAAAAAGTATTTCAATAATAGTATCTTTCAGAGAAAAACTGGCTTTGAATAATTACATCCTGTGAGCCTTAGCTGACTTCCACGGTAAGTAGAAATTTGGCAGAAATATGTATTCAGATCACATTAATTCCTGAAGTGTGCATCTAAGCAAATGGATAACGACATATGTAGTTTTTGGGAGACTGTGTGATAGGGATAGGAGTCAGAGAGATGAATTAGCTTTGTGCTTTCATTTACTTATTTACACATATGCATACGAAAGCTATGGGGTTAAACTCAGCCCTGTTACTGATAATGTGTCCCTAGAGATCACAGCTTAGTATGAATTCTGAAACTGCTACATGGTAATTTTTTTATTTTTATCTTTAAGTGAAGATTTATACTTCAAATTTCATTTAAAAACCAGACAATTGTTAATATATTTACTTTCATATTTGCATATTTGATACGGTTTACCAAGTAAATTCATGGTGATTGCTTGTATGCATTCTGACAGGGACATTATTCTGAGCAACACAAAACTAATTCTTGTTGCAGACATACAACAAATTTGGAATAACAGAAACATAGGAATTAAACCAGAAGTAAATTTTTAAACTTTTGGTACAGTTCCCTGAAAACCAGTGATTTTTGTCCTTCACATTTTGGACAGACCCATGTTTCAAATGATGAATTTCCCATGACCTTATCTGGGGGACAGTTTATAACACTGCCCTCACAAAGAAGTCTCAAGATTCACCACTAACATCTGATGATGTAAGGCAGCTTGCATTTTATCATGCCAAAAATGTCTGCTTTATTAAGTTGTCAGTACTGATTTGACTGGCAACTTCAAAGGTAAGTATCTTTCCATCATAACAAGTATTTAACCATGGGGAACCTCATTTTTCAAATTATTCTGAGGCTAAGAGTAGAGCAGCATCTAGTGCAGCTCTGGCAATTGCCACCCCCATTATTTAATGGAAATGCAAATTTTTGCTTGAAGTAGCTAAGAAAACATGTGCAGCTTTTAAACATCAAGTTAATGTTTCATTTTTTTCCCCACAGTGAATGATTCACTTTCAAGAGACAAGGGACCACACTAACCTAGCCCTCAATTGCACCACCAGAACTACTAACAGCAAAACTATCAAATCTTCACAAAGTAGCAGAATGAAAATGAGGTCTTTTTTTTTCCCCTTTCTTTTTCTTTTTTTTTTGGTACAGCACAATACAATCATTTCAAAAGAAGTGGCAGAGCCTTACCTTGGCTGAGTGCTCCATGGTGACAACCACTTTGGTCTGTGCGCTGGATACCAGGTCCATAGCACCCCCCATTCCTTTCACCATCTTGCCCTAAAATACAGTTTTTAATAGAACTGTAAATTTTTTATTATTAATAAAAAGAAAAAAGGTGCATATAGTGGTTGCTGTGACAGAACAAGAGTCACCTTTTCTTGCATTGAAAGCCCACCTGTTTCATAACCACTGCATCAAAACACCAACAGAGTTTCACCAGAGTGAAAATATTTGTCTCACTCTAGGATTTATATGATGCAAATAGGAGAAGAACGATGAGTAAAATAAGGACCCACTGCCATGGATGGTGCCCTGGGGTATAACATATATGAGCTGTACCATTGGCTTAATGGAAGCTTTGACACTGAGGAGCAATGCATTTAGTTCCAATGGTTCTGTCATTAGAAAAGCAAAGTGTTCATCCTCCTGTTGTTAGAAATGCCATTGCTTCCTCAAAAGAAATCTTTGCTTGTGAAACATAGCAACAAGAACATCAGAGCACTATGCACCTGTCACTTTACAAAGTCACTTGCCAGTTTTGGAAGTCATGCCTTGTATCACTCTATCAGCACAAACCAGTCTTTTTGTTCTATTCCAGTTGTCTGTGGAGGTCATTTCAGAACATGGGCAAATAAATGAACGTGGCTCAGTATTCACTTCTTTCGTCCCTCGATCCAAGCAATGCTTTTGGCCCCTGGACTCATTCTTCACTCAGATAGAGTCAGAATTGCACGTGTTATCACTGCATCTGTATGATGAGCTTGGTGTTCAGCTGCCTCTGTTTTTATTTTCTGTAATGCTACAGCCTTGAACCCCTGCCTACTTCCATCACCTTAAACTGGATGCATCTGATCTTGGAAAGCAAAAAGGTCCAGACTTGGCCACTTCTGACAGGGAATGACCATAGGCACAAAGTTCTATTAGTATGAGCAGAGCAATCATTTTTTAACAGCAGCACTAGACCCCAAAACCCAAACATGGCAACAACCTCATACACTAATGCAGACTTGCTGAGGAGGGCAGAAACGGGAGTGGAACATCAAGGCAGCTGCATGATACGGGAGGTTAGTAGGAAACATGATGCAAGGAATTTTACAGATTAAAATAAATTAATTTCTGTCTCAAATGTTTTGCATTTGCTCACTTTTTACTGGTTATATGGACAGTAATAAAACACATGCTGGTTTGTATGTACAACCTAAATGTCTCTGATTAAATGACTGGAAGTCTTCCTAGTACAAAGCTTTTCTCCTATGCTTCCTTTTATCAGCTATGTGATTCAGTACATTACAAGCATCAATACCTATGGTCCATGATAAAAAACATGTGGAAGTGACTTGTCTCATTAAACTGCCAGGTCACCAGCTTATTAGTCTCTTGATTATTTTGGTCTCTTGATTGTAATGAAGGGAATATTCACAGACACACTCCAAAAAATCATATTTCCCCACTGTTTGCACAGCAAAGAGTAACTGTATCTATAAACAACCCCTCTAGAACTGCTCAGGTCAGATCAATATTTAACATCAATCACATTAATTATCATTACTACTAAACATTTCTTTGGAAATATAAACGTGAAAAGAATTTATCTCTATCCTTAACTTCCTGTCACTGCTCAGATCGTTCTCCATCCTATCTGGAAATACAGAGCTCTTACAGAGACTGCAGTGACCTCTCACCTGCCTCCCAGAGGCTCAGTGCCAAGATAATGCAGAGTAGCTGAAGAATACGCGTTGTCACCCCAGTAACTCAGAATATGTTTGCATTGAGGATTATGCTATCAGTACACCTGCCCTGACAACGCCATTACCTTATTTTCCAGGCCTTAACTATTAACTAGTAAAGACCTACAGCTACAAGTAAATACCTGAAGAACTAAGTGCTGACAAAGGTCAACAACAAATATACCTCAGACGCTGTCATACAGGACTGAGAGAAGAGACACTATCCCTTTGTGTATGCAGAAACAGGGAAATGCAGGTTGAAGAGAAGGACTTAGGGATCTTTAAATTGCTTCATCTGCTCCTCCTGTTTAGGAAAACAATCATCACTATAGGGTGGTGTCTGGTAAAGCAAATCAATTGAGCATTAAATGCAACTAGCCAAGTAATTACAGGCTTTTACTTTGAGGATTATCCGAAGCATAAGAGCCTTACATTACTCTCAGTGCATCTACCAAACTACCACAACTTGCACTTCGCCCCTGACCATACCGGCATGGGGGCAGCTTCGTCCTAAATTTGAATTAAAATACTTGAGTCTAAAAGGTGATTCCCAAAAGACACATTGCTCTTCTTTGCCTAGAATAAGCATGCAGACCATAACAGTTCTTATATTTATGAACGTAGCACATTTACAAGCAATCAGAAATTTTTGTTTCTTTTAAATTTTAATAGTATATTTAATTGCATCTGGCATAAGTCAGACTGTTTTATTTGACTGCTTTGTATGCAATATGCAGTTTATCATTAAAATACACACTTTCCTCTCCTGAATCACAGAATGGTTAGGGTTGAAAAGGACCTTAAAGATCATCTAGTTCCAACCCCTCTCCCATGAGCAGGGACATCTCCCACTAGACCAAGTTTCTCAAAGCCTGGCCTTGAACTTGCTATGGCATTTAAGTCTAATGCAATAACCCGTAAAAAGTTCAACTTTTTTAACCAATTAATAAATATAGGAATTTTAATTATTTTCTTAAAGAGATACTTGAAATAAGCAACCGCTGCAGTAAATTTGCATGTTTCCTGCTCCTTCTTAGCAGGTCAGGATTTACATACTCCCTCACTCTATTTATTTACTTATTTAAGATGATATTTGTTAGTTCCCAATTACATTAGTGCTGATAGCTTAAGAAATCAGAAAGAAAGACTTAGTGCAGTGGTAGAGCGCTGGTAATTTGAAGCACGATCACAAAATCCTCTTAATCAGCCAGAGCCTGAAGTAAGAATAAAAGATTTTTGAATCAGCCGTGCACTTCCTGGGAGGTCCAATGTTGGCAATACATTTACAGAGGGTTTAGGCAGATAACAGACACAAGCTGGCAATTTCCTTACAGCTTCTCAGTTACCATCAAAGGTATGATTTCTCCTTTACCCATTGTGCAAGATGTGGAAATTTTGGACCTATTTTTTTGATTCTATTTTTTAAAAAATTAAGATAATCAGCTCTTCTGCTTCTTCAGTCATAAACTCAAAATTAGTGGAATTTCTTATAATGCCTGCTTATTGCAAAATGAATTGTTCAGTTATTGTGGTGATGGGGAATCTTAAAGAAAACATGAGAGAAGGGTACGCATTTTCTCATCTGATGTCTTCATATCTGAACAACATTTGAGTGGTCAAAATACAACATTAAGGAGACTGAGGACGCAATTTAGCCTAATAGTAATTGCTAAATGAAAACTTTCCTGTTAGCTTGTTCACATGTGGCACCCAAGATAACCTGGCATTCCAACAGAAACTTCTGAGTACTCCAATGTGAGTGAGACAGTCAAGCTATTTTTCAAGAGAACATGAAGTTTTTCCAAAATGGTATTTCAAGCAAGCTAGAAACATGCTACAGCCAGCAGGAAAAAATTTATAAGAAAATCCAAACAGACTAAAAACAGGTAGCTGAGACAAAAACCAGAAGACTCATGGGCCTTCAAACACCATTAAGGTCTAGGATCCATGCTGGTGTCTTAAACCTTTCCTCTATATTCCTAGGGGGAAGCACTTCTTTCTGTAACTGAATTTCATAACTACTCCCAGCATCATAGGGCAAAACGCATCTGAACTGTTCTGGTTAAGTTAAAATAACAATCTTTTGAGACAAACACATATCACATCAACAGTTCAGCAAAGCAGATGCTAATGATGTGCTCAAGGAACAGTGAAAACGTATCAGTGGTAAAAGCAGATTAGAATGCAGCTTGAATAATTCCATTTAAAATTGGATATCAAAGGACAGGCAAGGTGAAAATGTACACCCATTTGCAAAGGAACCAAAGCAACCAAAGCACTTCCCTGTTAACAGTCTTTGTCTGTGTTGCCAGCTGCCCTAATACTGTATTAAACAAATAGCATCAATCTGAAATTTCTCTTTCCTTCTATTAGACAAAACAATACATATGCCTCTCACACTATGTGCAAGGTTAGTGAAACTACTATTTAAAAACTCTTATAGAAAATAATGAGTGCTTCTAGTTTGAACTGCAGGCTTCCCATTCAATCTCAATTTTCAGGTATCCCCCTGAAGACCTTGAACAAGCTACCTAGAATGAGAGAGAAAAGAATTTAAAGACATCAGCATCATCTCTAATGGCCACAGACACAGACTAGGTGGCAGGTACAGAATTCATTGCCAGACTCAGCTTCCTTATGAAAGGAAATTATTATATCATGCCAGCGATAGGCACTAAAATTCAGAGCAACTGGAACAGTATGAACTCCACAGAGAAAAGGAGAAATGAAGGTAATGCAGTGGATACAAGATACTGCCATCAGAACCATCAATCGTGATAATACTGCAGTCAAAAGGATGAACTCAAGACCCCTTCAAAGGCTCCTGCTCTGCCCATCTCTGCAGGGGTGTATATGCAGTACTAACACATTACTCACACAGACCTCCCTCTCTGTATAGGTACTGTCTGCCTCCACAGATGTGCCAGCATCAAATGACACACACAGCACAGGTAAGGAGGTCATCAGAGCCACATATAACGAACAAAAATACCTCATCAATTGTTATGGCATTGGATATGGTTGGTTTGGGGGTTTTTGTTTGTTTGGGAGCTGCTTATTAGCTTAAGCCTTCATTTTGTACAAAACCCTCAAAACAATCAGAAGGTAATATTAAAAAAATACATATTCATAAGTCTGTTCTAAGTTCATAAAAATGTAGATTACAATCCTTTGCCCATTGCTAACAGTCTGTCCAGTGTTTAAAGGAAAGGTATGTTTGCAGTTGATTCTAAAATGAAATCCACAGCTCTTCCAGACTTCACTTTCAATTTTTCTAGTGAAGGACTGGGAGAAGATTTTATCAAAAAATGATGGATAAAGCTCAAGACT